TTGGCTAAATCTTGTTTCTACATGAAACCAAAAGAGAAAATATTGTTTTGTACTGTCATGAAAAAAGCTAAATTACCAAAAAGTTGTGCTTCAAATATTTCAGAACGCGTGCATGTGAAGGAGATGAAAATATCAGGGTACAAGAGTCATGACGCTCATTTTATGATGCATTACTTGCTCTAGGTTGCTGTTAGAAAAGTGTTGCCCAAGAATGTCTCATTGGTCTTGATTAGGTTGAAAAATTTCTTTAGAGCTATATGTAGCAAGGTCATAAGGAAAAGAGATCTTGAAAAAATGCAGTCTGAAATTGTTGAAATAACATGTGAGCTTGAAAAAATTTTCCATCCAACATTTTTTGACATAATGCCACATTTGCCTGTTCATTTGGTGAATGAAATTAAGCTTGGGGGTCCGGCTCATCTTCGTTTGATGTATCCCATTGAGAGAAACCTATGTAAGTACAAGGCGTTTGTACGCAATCGATCTTGTCCAGAAGCGTCAATAGCAGAGGGATTTTTGGCTGATGAGTGCTTGACTTTTTGTTCGAGATACCTACATGATGGCGTGAAGACAAAATTCAGTAGGTACCAAACTGTGGATGATCAGTGCTCTCAAAATTTGTCACCTTTATTCCCTAATATAGGCCATCCAATTGGAAGTAAGAAAAAAAATACTCTTCTCATGGATTCACAGTTATGTTTTGAAGCACATCGATATGCTCTGTTCAATACCGGAGATGAGCAAATGGAAAAGTTTATCGAGTAAGATAATTTTATATATGTTTATTTATATTTTATATTTATTTATTAAATGATTAAACTTGAAATATCATGATTTCAGGGAACATAAGAATTTAATTGTTCATCATAGTAGATCAAATGCATGGGAAAGAGCGAGGAATCATAGTCAGGAATTCAGTAATTGGTTTAAAGAGAAAGTTAAAAATATTGTATGCCAGATTATTTAAGATGGATAGCAAAGGGCCCAATATGGTGGCCAAAAGATATTCTGAATATTTTTATTAATGAATACCGATTTCATACCAAAAAACGGGATTCCCAAGCAAGACTTAAAAATAGTGGAGTGACTTTATCGGCAACAACTGATAGTTTTGCTAGTGCTAGGGACCAAAAATCCCATCGATGGTGAGGTTATCTATTATGGAGCTATTCAGGATATCATTGAGGTTGATTATTGGATTGTTTTAGCGTTGTACTATTTAGATGTGATTGGTTTCGTAATGAAATAGATGATTTTGGGTTAACTCGGGTGTACTTCAATAGATTATGCAGTACAGATGACCATTTTTGTGTTGGCATCACAAGTTTATTCAAGTTTTTTATGTGGAGGATCCAATTGAAAAAGATGTTTATTATGCAATGAATAAGGTACCTGTTGATTTGTATGATCTAGAGGAAGAGAATTATCTCAATATTGGAGACACATTTTGGCGGGAACCTTATAATGACATTGGTTCCTCCTCTATATTACCTGATGTTGACGTTAGATGGTCAAGAGATGATGTACCAGTTGATATTGTTGATATTCCAACTAATGCACAAAATTCACATGATATGATTATAGAATCGGAAGAGGAGGATGGGTTTGATGACACTGATTGGGACTGGATGAAGCAGTCCCATCCAGTCCCATATGAGTAAGTGTTATATATATATATATATTATATATATATTATATATATATATATATATATATATATATATATACACACACACACATATTAAGATTATTTTTGTTTTTTATCTTGTAGATTATTATTCTGATATGCTTCAATTTTGCAGGATTTAGGATCTATTAACTTTGCTGCTACTGCTGGATTAATTGACAGAGAACTGATATTGCTTTCGGGAATATAATTCTGGTAATGTTTTTGCTAACCTATTTGATATTGGTTTCAGAAATTACTTTAAAATGCTTTCTCTTAATGCTTTTGCTAACCTATTTCGCGTTTGCTCATTTGAATCTGATAGGGATTTTAACAGTCATGAATCAAGAAGGGTGTTCATGGCGAGGCTGAGATGGTTCGGACATGTTAAGAGAAGAAGCATTGATGTTCCAGTTAGGAGGTGTGAGAGGTTGGCCATGGAGGGTTTGAGAAGAGGTCGAGGTAGACCTAAGAAGTATTGGGGAGAGGTGATTAGGCAGGACATGGCGCTACTTCAGCTCACCGAGGACATGACCCTTGATAAGAGAGTGTGGAGGTCGAGGATTAAGATAGAAGGTTAGTTGTTAGTTTATAGTTGTTCACCGATAGTCTTAGTAGTATGCATGTCCCTTCATATTCTTAGATTTTTATTATGTTATGTGGTTTTGTTCGCGTAAGGTATTGTATTCCTTGTTGCTATTATTTGGTGCCACTTATCCTTTACCTTTCCCTTTTTTTTTTATCTTCCATCTTTCTTCCTCCCTTGCTTTCCTCTTCTTCTTCTTGCCCTTCCTGAGCCGAGGGTCTATTGGAAACAGCCTCTCTACCTGAATTAGGTAGGGGTAAGGTCTGCGTACAGACTACCCTCCCCAGACCCCACTTGTTGGGATCAAACTTGGTTTGTTGTTGTTATTGTAATCAAGAAGGGTGTTCAAGCAAAAATAAAAAAATATCCAACCGCATTCCAGCTGGATCACTTACATCTTTGCAAAACCAAAAGGTTTCGTTGTTGACAACAAAAAGAACCTCTCAAGCTATAAGGTCTAATGAAAATGACGAAAGACAATCACAATCTCGATCAATTGCATTTTTGCGAAATCAATCGTTGACAACAAAAAGAACCTTTCATGCAATAATGTCTAATGAAAATGAAGAAAGACAATCAGAAGCTGAAAAAGTTTCGCAAAGATCTCAATTGCAAGAAAAAGTGCGGCAAGTGCCACTGATTTGTACCTCTTCTACAGCACAAGGAGTACAAGAACAAGTGCGACAAGTGCCAATGGATCCCATCACTCCTACATCACAAGCTGTGCATGAACCATCTGAAGATTCTACCAATCATGAAGTAATTGAACAATCTAAGGAACCAGACAAGTATATATAAATTTTAATCATAAAATTAACTAACGGTGAAGAATGGTGATTATCATTATTTTGTATTAGTGCAGGCCCTTCCGCGCCAAAAAGAAAAAGAGGCCCTACTCAAATGCAAAGTGTGCACGGGAGGAAGGACCGTAAAAAATCGTGCTAAATGAGTTTAATCAACCCATTGGTCCTACTAATGATGTTGTGAAAGAGTTGGGTAGCTTCCTCGGCACATTGGGAAGTAATGAGACCTTTTGTCCTCTTAATGTATTTGATTGGAGGAAAGTAGATAAAAAAAAATGATATTTGGAAATATGTCAAGGTTTGAAGTTCCTAATGTTCAATAAGCGTGGATGATATTTCATAGTTTCTTATACTAACCCGATTGTACTAAATTTATAGGAAAAATATGACATTCCTGAAGAAGCGAAGAAATGGGTTTTTGGTTCAATTTGTACTGCTTGGAGAAAGTATAAAAAAAGCACTTTGAAGCATATGCGAATGACGAGCTTCGGATGGAGAATAGGCCTCTAGATGTTCCGGCATCTCACTTTAAAGCTCTTCTTGAATATTGGAACTCCGATCCCCCCAAGGTAATTACATCCAACTTTTGCCAACTTTTGGTTGGAATAAACAAAGCTCCTGTAAATAAACTAGAAATTATTAGATGCCGGCATGCATGAGAAAGGGGATTACATGCCTTATTCACTGTCGTGAAATGAATTAGATATTAGATATGATTTGCCTCTTACACTTTGTGCTGTTTGAATGTCTTGGCTGAAATAACTTTGTGCTGTTTGAATGTGTGGTTTTTTGAAATAACTCAGGTAATATTAACCAGGAAAGTTGATTTTACATAATGACTTAGCATGAGGGACCAAACAAGTTGTCAAAAATATTGCAGTAAATTTATTTCTAATTGCAGACCAAGTGGTCCGAATCTGAATAATTACAGGAAAATCACACGTCGTTATCAATTTGATTTCCAAAAATCCTATTTTTCCATCATGTCATAAAAACAGTGGAGCCTATTGATCTTCAGGCACAATGGCCTAAAATCATAAATACTTGACAATGAGTTGGATAGCAAAACCATGTCATATTTCATCTGCTATTATCAATCAACAGCGCAACAAATGCCTCTTCACCACTGAAATTTTAAGTCTGATTGACTTGTTTCTATATTAATCTGTTTGACTCTAATTAGCAGCCTGCATATGTAGAGTGACAGAATGACCCTTATGTGTTCTTTGTGATGATTTGATAAGTAAAGAAACTATGTAATGAACCTTGCTAAGTGTGTTAGGAAGACTATTCTCTATTGATCTCTGTAATGAGTTTAATATTCACCCTTTCAGGACTATTTGAGCCTTCTTGTGAGATTCCTGCTACTACATTAATGACCTTTGCACTTGATTTTACTTCTATCGTGTTAATCCTTGCTCTGTTCATAAATTATTCTATGACTTTAGTGTGAGAAAAATTATATTTGCACTTATGTGCTAGCTTTACTTGCCCTGATTCTGACTTTGCTATGGTGCTTTACTTGGTTTGAATTTGTGAATACTTCCCATTAAGGGATTTGTTCCCATTACTGGCAATGGTTTGTTGACTTTAACTGTTATGTGACTTTACACAATCCTGATTCCTACATGTCTGTCATGTTAGCTTAAATAAAAATCATGTATTGAGTTTTGTTGGTATACTATGCTAGTGAACTTATCTATATGCCCAATTGTTGGCTTAATGTAGAGAAGTTTTAATTTGTGTCTCACACAACTTACATTAGTTGTGTGAGGCTCCTTTTTGTCTTACAAATTTGTGGACCCCTATCTTACACTTGTGGGTCCACAAAATTGTGAGACAAAAAAGATGCCTCTTACAACTAGTGTCAGTTGTATGAGAAACAAAATAAAATTTTCCCTTAATGTAACGTGTTTACCTCGTCAAATCAGAGGAAATGTCTTTCACCTACTAGGCCTGCTCTTAACTATGCTGAAGCATTTATTAAAAGTGTCTGTGAATTGTCTTTATGATAGCAAAACCCATCCTTATGCATTTTGATTCTATTAGATCCTTTGTTCCATGCATAAGAAAATGGTAGCAGATTATTTAACTGTTTATATAGCAGATTAATTAGTTGATCTTGTATTTTCCAAGTCAGGATTACTATAGAATGTCTCATTTCTTTAACCTGATGGACAATGGTTAAGTTCCTCTCTCAACTGCTTTGTGTTCTTTCACTGGAATCTTTGCATTTGAATTGGGTTAGCAGATTCATAGATGTGTTATATTCCAAAAGTTCATGACACGGATACTGATACTTATTTCTTTATGCAAATTTGTTGTTTGAAATATTTGACAATGTTGAACTGGTAAGTTAGATGTTTATTTGCAGAAAATGTCCGAAACCAATATCGAGAATCGAAAAAAGTTGAAGCATCCATACACTGCTGGCAAAACACCTTTTGCTCTAATCATCGAGGTTTAATTATTTTTATTATTTTTCTTAAAGTATGAACTTGCTAACTTTGGATGAAAAGATTCTCATACCAGTTTTCATATGACTAGGAAAAAAAGAAGGAAATGGCTGATACTTCGGATTCCCTATCAAGTAAGGACATCTTTGTGGCTACAATAAAAAAAAAACCTGGTCGAGTATACAAAGGCTCTTATGAGAATACAATTAGTAAAATTGTAAGAAATTTCTAATTTAAAGTTTGTCGTGATTATTTATTTGTTGTTAATTATTGACTTAGTTTTATTTACTTAAACTCTGTTCTCTTGCATTTGGTTTGTAGACTAAAATGGAGAGAATACAATCAACTCAAGAAAGTGGAGATGGTAGTGATTCAGTTGACGCGTTTGCATCAGTCATGGGACCTGAGCACCCAGGTCGGGTAAGATTGTATGGACGAGGAGTTAACAAGACTGTCTTAGAAAAGAAAAAAGGAGATTTTGGATCCTCTGTAAATGCTACTGATGAGAGAATGCAACAACAAATGGAGGAAATGGAAGAGAGGATGCAACAAAGAATGCTGGAAAAGTTGAATGCACAAAAGGAAGCTATGGAACAAGATATTACGATGAAAGTCGTTACACGACTTCAACGTCTCAACCCCGATTTGAGACTTGATCCTGACATGCTAATATTCATTGTTCGTGCACCTAGTGAAGCTTCTTCTACACAACAAGGTGCTATTCAACAAATCAATCATCCATCCGCTGGCAGTAACAATCAAGGTTAGTCCGTATCAAATAATACTCGTCTTCTCTTTCCTCTTTTTCTCCTCTTTTTTATGTTGCTTCTCTACCAATGTGCGCTCTCGCGGTCTCTCTTTCTGGCAATGTTTTAATGGTTTTAAAGGATATTTATGGTGGAGAAAGAGGGGTTGTTTGTGAAGTCATTTTAATTTAAGGGAGTTTTGGCTGGGTTTTGGAGTTGTTTCGGGGTCGATTGGAGATGGGGTTCACGCTGGTTTTCGGTTTTTAGGAATTACCCTTATTTATTTTTTGTCAAGGTTTGAGATACTGGAGTTTGCTGGATATGGTCTAAAAGTAGGAGTAATAAAAAACAAACATGGATGCTTAGTTTCTTTGGTGTGTGTGTGGGGTGGGTGGGGGTGTTTGTTTTATGGGAGATTTAGGATTTAGCCCATAAATCTGATGGTGTACTAGGCTATGAACATGGTGATGTGGAATTACATAGCATTTTAGTTTGAGATATCTCGTTTCCTGTGTGATCAAAACAAGACATCTTTGGTCCTTAATTGAGTGAAAAAGATTCAAACAAATTGACGATGTATTTGCATTAGTGGTTATACTGAACTAGAGCAATGCTACTGATAGAGAATCTATAAGTTAACCAATACTAATATATACATTTTTGTGTACAGCCCTCTTCTGCACCATTTAGTCTTAGAGAAACTATATGCCTACAAAAAAGACTAAACTCTATTTATGGAGTGTCCATAGAGCTGATCAGAGACAACCTTTGAATAAATTCATCATATTCTTCCTGATGGCTTATCAAACCGATCCGCACGTACTCTTTGGTTGAACCGAAATGTATCCCGCTTCTGGTCAAAATCTTGTGCTTCCTCAGGAGTAGTCTACAGCCTTTCGCATTATAGCCACGCAAAAGGTGAAAAGAGGGGAAGGAAAGTTGATTGGCATCATAGTATAACCAAAAGAACTACTGTAGAAAAAATAGATACCGCCAATCAGTAAACTAAAATTACAAGGTTTTGTAAACTAAAACCAGATATACTCTTCACTCAGGGTAAGCATTTTCGGTAGCCAGACCATAAATCTGATAGTATCTTCTGTTTTTTAGGCTAATCTGCGAACACCAAGTAGTTCACAATTAAGTGTTAATTAAAGACACTAGGATTGAGTGGCATTTTCCTGTTCTTCACTAAAGTTACATAATGAGCACATCTCCACTTTTTTCAAACCGTATTCACGTTGCCATAGTTCTCTGCAAAAGATGGAATAGCTAAAGGGGAATGTGACGTTTATCATAAGTAATGAGAAAAAATAACTTTTATCTGCACATCTCTCGATTGGCTTGGTACACTATGTCATTGCCTTCCCTCTCTCGCTTTCTCTCAGAGAGTATATATTATTTTGTGTGCATGCTTCTAATGTTCAGAGAACCTTGAATTCTGATTGAACTGGGATTTAAAGCCCTGCATAAACACTAATATTAATAGTTCTACTCTTCTTAGTCATTTACCACCATGTTTCTGTTTAACCAAAAAATAGGATTTTAGTCAAAACTAGAATTTAGAAGAATCGGGTTACTGATAATCGAAAAAGTAAATTTTTTTTAGAGTAACCAAGTATGAAAGCTGGTAAATCAAAGTATATTCCAATAGTCATATCTCCCTACAATTGTTTGTTTCTTCCCTTTTTATAGCTCTTTTGGGATACGAGCCTTGCCTTTGTCATAATAATGCTATTATGGGCAATTAATGACTTTAAATGTTACGTTATGCAATCATATACATTAAATACATATTCTCTAACGTTTTCCAATAATTAATACTCATTAAATGCTGTATCTGGGCTCCTTTTTGCTGTTAGATTCATTCCTTTGATTCTTCGCTATCTTTGAGTTTCAAATGTTTTGAATAGGTACGAGCGTTGAATTACTTGTATGACTGCTCGCACCCCCTCCATTTAATTTACTCGTATCTGTTAACCAACCTTATTTCTTTGACTGTTTGACCAGTCTATACATCATGACACGTCACCATATACATAAATATAATTTTCCCCAATACAGATAGTCCCCCCACTTTCCATTTATTCATCAGTTTGAATATTACTTTCATTTAATGCGCTAAACACGTGTCATCTTCTTATTGGTCATACAATTGTATAGCACTTTCTCAGGCTTTCTTTTCGGCTTCCCTATCCACGAAGTGTCAGTTATCATTATTATGGACTTCCCATCACTATACTCTTTCCTTCTGACGGTCATTCATCGGTATAAATATAACTTCCATCTTTGTCTTCTACCATTTAAAGCGTATTGAACACTTTAATTTTTCAAAGCTTTTATTCACTTCTTCTTCACTTCAATCTCCTTTGTCATGGCTTCTCCGAACCCTAACCCTAGAAGAACTCCTATTTTAGACAGCTTTCCCAGTGCTCCCGTTAGGCATAGAAAAGGTGGTGGTGGTAGACTCCGTAGTTTGGGATCTGTCCATGGTGTTAGTTCACTCACACCTTCTTCTAGTTCTGGCCCTTCTTCTAGAACTGGAGGTTCCCATTCTCAAAGGTTTTCTTCCAGAAACAAAGAATCCTCTGAACCCTTACGCGAACCTTTAGTGGAAGAAATAGTTCCAACGGACTTATCTTTTTACCATGATAGGGAATCTCTCAGAACTCAAGTCGCCTCTTTAAATCGAGTTGATACTTATCCTTCTCAAATTACTGACCCTTAAATCCCCATAGTTCGTAGAGATTGTCATTGGAGTGATGATTTCCCTATCATCATTCCTAATCCAAATCAGAGAATCACCTCCTACATTATTGGATTTTCTTTTGTTTATACGTATCCCTTTACTTTAGGGTTTAAACCAGCCATTGATCCAGTTATTCTGGATTTTTGTCGCTTTTTTAATGTCAGCTTGGGTCAAATTGGCCCAATCGTTTGGAGGGTTGTCGCCTGCTTAAGGCACCTCACTAACTTGGCAGATGCCGAATTTACTTTTCCCCACCTAATTCATCTCTATTCCCCTAGGATTTTTCGCAACGGCATTTTTACCCTAGCAGCCAGGAGCAAAAGGGTTTTAGTGAGCCCTGAGGACGATAAAGACCGTGGCTGGTATGCCCGGTTTGTTGCTGCCCCCACTGCTGGTTTAGTGGGCGAAAATAACATTCCCTTCCCAGAGAAGTGGAACTTTGCACGTAAGTATTAAATCTTCCCGTGCCTTTCCCTTTCAGGTTTTATCACCTTTTCTAATGTCGCTTCTTTTTTCTTTCTCAGCAACCATGGGTGTCGTGGAAACCGTGCCCAACTTCCGTGGTTGGGTAGGAAAATTGTTGAAGGCCGCTCCAATGGAGGGTAGGTCGAGGAAAAACCTTTCCAGCCGTTATGGTTGGAAAGTAAAAACTCATGGTAAGGGTTTCTATTTTTCCTTGTCTGTATCTAAATATCTTTTTTGTTCTAACTTTTATCCTTCTTTTTATCAGGATTTGCTATTCGTGGGGTCACCGCAGAGTCGATCATAGCTGCTCGTGACTCTTTGAGTACTCGCACCTCTTCAGCCCAAGATGTATTCTTGGGTTCTTCAAAAAGAAAAGCTACTGAAACTGAAGAAGAAGATTCAGAGGAGGAAGATGAAGGTTCCCTGGTGATGAGGCCTCGAGCCCGGAGACGTATCGTCTCTGATGATGAGGCTGAAGTTTCCCCTCATCTATCTCCCTCCAAGTCTGTTATTACTCCAGTTATCATTCCTGATGATGACGTCTCTCCTCACGACACTCGTGAGTCTATCGATCAACTTTTTGCTAGTGGTTTTGGTAGTGAAAACTTAGGACCTATTTTAGATGAAATTCCCTTATCTTCTTCTTCATCTCCCGTACCTATGATTGCTCCTTTACCTTCATCAAGTGTTGCTTCTGTTCCTCCTTCTATCGCTCCTCCTTTGTCTTTTCCTCCATCTATTGTTCACCATATGGAGGTGGGCTCTTCAAGTAAGAGTACTACTATGAGGAGCGTACCTATTGAGGTTCCTGCTAACAACAGTCTCTTGAGAAAGTCTGGTCAGGCTGTTATTTGGCTCAAGCCTTTGATTGGCCCCATTGTAAAAACAAAACTTAAACCCTCATGAATGACATAGTGCATGCCACTTTAAAGGTATTCTTCTTTCCTATTTTTCTCCATTCTATAAAAAATTTCGACCCTGGGATTTTCACTTCTCTTTTATTTGCAGGCCAATCTTATTGGCACTGAGCTGATGAGCAGAATCTCCCTCTTGGAGAAGGTAGCACGTGATTCTCAGTTTGAGGCAAACAACTGGAAGGAACAATTTGGCAGTGTTCAACTCGACATGGAGGATTTACAAGAGAACAAGAGTGCCTTAGAACAACAGGTTCGAGCACTCACTTCCGAGTTGGGGGTCATCAAGGCTTCGTTGAATCAGGGGGGAAAAAGAAAGAGAACGCCTTGAGACTTCATTTTCAGAACAATTATCCAAGGCCAGTGAAGAAATCAGGGCATTGAAGGATCTTTTGAACCAAAAAGAAGTTTATGCCGGAGAGTTAGTTCAGAATTTGACTAAGGCACAGGAGGATCTTCGTGCCTCTGTGGATAGTATGCATGCATTGGAGAATTCTCATGCCTCCCTTCAATCTTCTTATAATTCCGTATTAGCTGAGAATGAAGGACTCAAGAACGAGGTCGCTGCTTGGGAAAGGGATTATGAAATCCTTGAAGAAAAAACTGATGTTGAGGTGAGTTGGGCCTTGCTAAATTCTCGTCGTGACACCTTACTAGAAATGGGTCAAGAGGACTTCAACCTTGAATCAGAATTAGCCAAGGTGAATGAAACCATCGCACGAACTCAACAAACACAAGATTTTTCATCTCCCGAGTTGAAGTTCCCTGGTTGAAACTCCGCGCTGAA